GTACAAGAATTCTAAATAAGATCAAGATCTTATGTACACAGTGACAGACTGAGATGAAAGTCAAACAACAATTAGCATTCACTGTGAATCAAGTATTCATGATGCAGAGCTTCACTGATGCAATCATCATTATTAATAAGAATAGAGAAAACCAGGTCTTAGATCTGCAGCATAAGATTAAATATTTATATAGATAAATAATCACACTGAATCTGAAGATCTTATCACAATCATTTATAATCTCTTCAGAACTATACACATCATCAGAGATCACTGCACAGAATGAAAATTTAAACATGAAATACATCAAGCTAAGAGATCTGTTGAAGTCATCAAGCTTCAATGACAACTGAAAAAATAATACTACAATCAGCTAGCTAAGTCAGATATAATTATATTATCAGATTAAATATAAACTTACAGACAGACAGTCAACAGAATTTCAATAAGTCTTAAGATGTATTACATTTGTACATAAAAAAGCAAAGTCACTGTGAATAACTAATGAAAAGATGAATCTTACAGATCTGAAATAATATTTATTCTTATAAATATGAAATGAGTTTTTCAAATGAATCTTGCACAACTTTGAGAAAGTAAATATATAAGACAAGTGTTATGAACACTTCACTGAGTGTAGATAAGTGAGTGATCTTATATCATACTTTATATACTTCAGTTTATACTATCTTACATTGAATGAAAAGCTTTCAACATCTTTCTGTTTATAGATCTTTATTCATAGTCTTACACCTGAGTTGAGAGCAGAATGAAAATACTTAATCTCATATTCAGTTATAGTAAAGAAAGCATACAATATTCTCATTGTATGAAAATAAGTGAGTTAACTATGATAGAAAATACTGCAATTAAGTATGTCTTAACAGAGAACAGATAATCAGACTTCTATGATACAAGTTATATATCTGAATGTAATAAATCTAGATCTGAATATCATCACTACAGTGCTGAATTCTCTGAAAAAGAGATTCTCTGAGTGAAAATCTTGATATTATAAGTATTAAGCTTGCTTCAACTGTAGATATCAGAATGATAATACAAAGAATTACACACAGTATACATAGTCAAGAGAAGTAAGAAAGTTAAAAAACTAGCAGAATTAGTAAGCTTGAAGACACTCACTAATATTCTATGAAAAGCCTTTAAAGTGAAAGAGATGCTCATGTTAGATAACTCTCTGAATTCTGTAAATATCAAGAGAAAGCAGGCTTCTGACTGAGATGTAAGTAAGAATGAAGCAGACACTCATCTCAATGCCTTGAGACTCAAAATGTTAATATATAAAGAGCACTTGAGTAAGAATTAAGAGATAACTGTAAAAGTGTTAACAGACATAGAAGCTTCTATATAATATATTAATAATCATATAATCTGAAGACTGAAAGAGGTTCACTGAGTGAAGAATTCTTAATATATAAGATTATCTGATAACTGATATTTAATATCATCTGCAAGAGTCAGAGTTCTCTTGCACTTTAGAGAATAATATTGCTATATTTAAGTGTAAGAGCTGCAGAATGTGAAATACAATCTTATTCTCAGACTTGATTAATTTCAAAGATTCAATTCACAGATTCAATAATGTATATATCATATGCAGTTAACTGATAGAAAGAAAATAGTTTAAATAATTCTATCAACTGATATAAGAAGAGCATTTCACATCTCTGATATAGAAGAGTTAAATCTGCTTATATATTAATAAGTAAAGAGAATGATTCATAAGATCTCATCTGAAAGCATTCTGTATATCATACAGAATCTGAAAGTGAAGAAAACTAAGATAAAGAATATACAGAAGAATAAGCATATGAAGAAGCTTCTAATGAAGTATGAAAAGATCTTTTAAACAGATCTTTCATCAGAATTGCTGCTGGAATGAGAATTTATACATGAGATTGATATCAGAGATATAAAATCATTCAATCAGAATGTGTATTCTCTGTTACAAACATATCTTGAAGAACAGAAGTATCAGATAACAGATCTTCTAGAACATGGTCTTACACAACTCTCATCAAGTGTGTGAGGCTTTTCAGTTCTATTCATAAAAAAGGCAGATAGAGAGTGATAGATATATATTGACTATCAAGCACTTAACAAGCGTACAATCAAGAATGAATATTCACTGTCATAGATTCAACAATAGTTGAATACAGTTGAAAATATCTGATATCTATTGAAGATTAATCTTCTCTCAGAATACTGACAGATCTGTGTAGAGAAACTGTTAGTTTTATAAACTACATTTAATATATAATAAGAAAAGTGTAAATTCCTGATAATGTTATTTAATCTGATAAATATACCTGTCATCTTTCAAATGATGATGAATATAATTCTTTATAAACAGAATGAAATCTCATATCTTATATATCTTGATAACATTCTAGTCTTTTCAAACTCATATAAGAAATATCTGAAGCATCTCAATAAAGTGCTTATAACTCTGACAGAGTATAAGCTCTATATCAAACTAATAAAGTATGTGTTTAAAATGAAAGAGTTGAAGTTTATAAAACATGTAGTGAGTGATAACTGTATACATCTCATCTCAGAGAAATTACATGTCATAGTAAATTAGCTACAGCTGAGAAACATACACTATATATAACAGTTTTTAGATTGATCTCATATTACTGCAGATTTATCAAGAATTTCATATAAATATCTACATCACTCTCAGATCTCTTAAGAGAAATGAATACAAATCTGTGAAAGAAGAAGTTTCATTCAATCATCTGAAATACTGTGTGCAATAAAGCTTTCCTCATATTGAGAAAATATATAATAACATTCTCAGTGCTTATTCAATCATATTATAATAAATCTTTCTACATCAAGATAGATATATTCAAATGAGCTATCGGAGACACTCTTCTACAGATCAGTAAGAACAGCAAGCTGCATCTGATAATATATAATAATAGAAAACTATCAGATGCTGAGCTCAATTATTCAGTGTATGAAAAGAAATTACTAGTAATTAAACACACACTGATATTGTGAAATAGATATATTAATAACAGTTATATAATAACAGTGATCACAGATTATGAAAGTCTCATCTATCTACAATCAATGATAAAACCTTTCAAACACTTAGTATGTTAAATGTCAGACTTTTAAGTGTATAATCTTCATATTAAATACTGAAAGAAATTATCAGATGCTGTGATATCTAATACAATCAGTCACAGATCTCATTTCAGAGATAAGAGTTCTGTGAATCAGATATAAGAGAAGTTTGCATTAAACACACTGAGAAAATACAAGAAATCAGAATGAGTGAATGCAATAACCTCTCACTTAAAGAATAACAAGATATTAGATAATAAGTATCTTATTAAAGTAGTAGAAGAGATACTTCTGAACTTCAAGCTGAGAAAATTAAAAAATGAGATTATTCTTTATTATAATATAGAATATGTGAAAGCTCTCTATCTATAACAGTCATTTAAATGTGACTTAATAGCTCACATGCATAAGAAATTCAGTTACTTAGAAAGCTCTGAAATCATGAATATACTTAAATCAAGAGTTATTATTATTACTATTCTTCAATTATAGATGTATGCAGTCAGAGACTATGATATCTACCTGAGAAATTTTAGTTCTCAGGGTTTTTCCTATATCTGTAAAGTTAACTATTATACATTCATCAATTTCAGATATGTAAAATCAGAAAATTCCAGCCCAGAATACAAAAACTGTTTACAAATTGCAGTGTTTTAACATCTTCTGATACTTTGAAATCATTTGACAATATCATGACAAAGGAAAAGAGAAATAGAACACAGTCTTAAAGATAGACACATTAAATAGATAGATAGAAAGGAATTGAAAGGAAAACTACGGGCGCTAGCCACCCGCAGGATGCACCTTAAGCTAATTACATTTAACCCTCTATAATTAACCGACCACCGCATCCGTCCTCTCGGGCCAGCCACTAATTTCCAGGGGTGTTAGTTAGTGACTGCCACCGCCCACTTGGTGGCGTGCACACCAAGCTTCCGGTTGCTGATCTCGGCCCCATTAGATGCCCATAGGCCTACCAATCAGCCGTCATGGCCTTGCCCTGTGTTAGAGACTAATCATAGGCTTGATGACTGCAGTCCTCTCTGTCAGTATTAGGGCTTGGCAGGGAGCTTGCAGGCTCTAGCCTATCAGGGTGCCCTGTCTAGAGCCTAGATGCGCGTCTAGGCCTGCTAGTCAGGTGGTTTTCAAAATCATTCCCTGTATTTGGGGGGGAGCTAGGCTCCGATGACACCCCTAGTTTGAGACTCACTTAAGTAGTGTATAACCACTACATTAGGCTTGGCTCTATATTGTTAGAACCTTGACGGGTGCACAGTAGAATAGTGAGATATTGGCACCCCATGCCGGCCCTGGTGGGTGTTCGCAGGATCTCACTTAACTAGTGGCTTGGCCTGCAGTAGGGAGTTCTACCCCGCACCAAGCCTTACTAATTAGGCTCAGCCCCTATTACATGGGGGCTTTCATGGGTAAGAAGTGGCAGGTGCCAGCGGTGGGATTCGAACCCACGCACCCCTAATGTGTGCGGCCTTGGTTACCAGTCTTACCAACTGGGCCACGCTGGCTTAGTTCAGAACTAACTTGTTAACTTTTGCATGTGCATAACTGATCTCTTTCAATCTTGATTCTGTATTCACAACTACTGTGTCTGCAACTGCTACTACTGCATCTGTAACTGCTGTTTTCATTCTTACTTGTTTCAAAGTATTCTTCAGAATGTACAGATGCAACTTATATAACAGATAGAATAGTAAATACTTGAAGACTGCATACTGCTGAATTTGTGTGACTAACAGTATCTGACTGAGATATTCATCTTATAGTTATATAGACTTGTTTACTAGATATTATATCAGTATATTATTCAAGATTTCATTCCAGTGTTTCATCTATCTGTTTATTCACAGATAATATAGTATTATTCTACAATATCTTGTCTTTAACTAGCTTATAAAATGCCTCACTGCTTCTTCTATAAGATTCACACTATTATCAGTTAGAATCTCATACAGTATTTCATAGTTGATATAGATCTTATTATATGAAAACTTCATCATCATCTTCTCTATCATCTCTGAAACTGCTTTTATAACTGATCAGTCAGTAGTGTAGTTAATAGCAGTAATTATTTAATAATTTTCATTTGATATTTACAGTAGTATGTCTATGAGATTCACTCTTCATTATTTAAACTGTTGTATTATACATCTTATCTGATATTGTACTTTCTTATATTTTAACTCTTTCTTCAATTATTTCATGACCTGGTAATTCAGACACTTATGAGTGTATGTCTGAATATTCTCAGTCATGCTTAGTCAGTATACTCTCAGTTTGAGTACACTTATAAGTTCAGAGCATTCTAAGTGACTGAATTTCTTATGCATGTGAGTCACTAAGTTATGTCTAAATAAATGTTTTAGATGAAGAGCTTTCATGTATTCTAGATCACAGTAAAGTATAACATCATTTTTCAATTTTCTTCACTTAAAGTTGAGAAGCATCTCTTCTACTACTTTTATAAGATACTTACTATCTGACATTTTATTATTCTTTAAGTAAGAGATTATTATATTTACTTATTCTGATTTCTTACATTCTCTCAGTGTGTTTAACATGAACTTCTCTTATACCTGATTCACAGAATTCTCACTCATGAAATCAGGTCTGTGACTGATTATATCAGGTATTACAGTGTCTGATCTCTTTCAGTATTTAATATAAACATTATACACTTGAAAGTCCGAGATTCAATATACTAAGTGTTTGAAAGGTTTCATTATTGATTGTAGATAGATGAGAGTTTCATAATTTATAATCACTGTTATTATATATCTGTTGTTGATATATATATTCTATAACATCAGTATTAGACTGGCCGCTGGGATCATGAATTTCATATTTGATCTCATTTGATCTGGTCCCATACATTTCTTGGCGTGAATCCCGCTGGGACTAGTCATCAAAAAAACATGCAAAGTGACTATATATCAGATCTTAAAATGAAACCATGACTTGAAAAAAATGAGAAAGTGATCTCATTTGATCTCATTTAGTTCCAGTCTTAGCATAAAGTTACTATTTTTAGACATTTTAAGGTTTTTTTTAGACTATTTTTAATTTTTAAAAAAGTAATGCTTTTTGGTAACACTCAAATGAGATTTAAAGTCATTTAAAGCAATAAAAATAATTTAAATTGAGAAGTGGAAATCATGATCTCATTTGAAAAATGTGACAAGAGTAGACAGTAAGTCACACATAAACAGTATGAGACTACTATCTAATGTTAAAACCATGTAATGGGATCAGTTGAATTGGTAATGTGAGTATCAAAAAATCTGGTCCTGGTCCCAGACATGGTCACACGGTCAGTCTAATCAGTATATACTTAATTGCTAGTAATTTCATTTTATACACTGAGTAATTGAGCTCAGCATCTGATAGTTTTCTATCATTATATGTTATCAGATGTAGCTTGCTGTTCTTACTCATCTGTAGAAGAGTGTCTCTGATAGCTCATTTAAATATCTCTGTTTCAATGTAGAAAGATTTATCATAATCCGATTAAATAAGTACTGAGAATATTATCACATGTTCTCTCAGTGTGAGAAAAGCCTTCTCATACATAGCATTTTAGATAATTAAATAAAACTTCTTCTTCTGCAGATTAGTATTCATTTCTCTTAAGAGATCTGAGAGTGATACAGCTATTTATATAAAATCTTTGATACATCTGTGATAATATGAGATCAACTTAAGAAACTGTTATACATAATGTACATTTCTCAGCTGCAGTCAACTCACTATGACATTGAATTTCTTCAGAATGAGGTGTATACAGTCATTACTTACTACATATTCTATGAACTTCAACTCTTTCATTTCAAACACATACTTTGTTAATTTAATGTAGAGCATATACTCTTTCAGAGTTATAAGCACTTTATCAAGATGCTTCAGATGTTTATTAGATGAGTTTGAGAAGACTAAAATGTTATTCAGATATATAAGGTATGAGGTTTTATTCTGTTTATAAAGAATTGTATTTATCATCGTTTGAAAGATGACAGGTGTATTTATTAGACTGAATAACATTGTCAGGAATTTGAACTTCTCTCATTGTATATTAAACACAGTTCACAGTACTGACAGTTTATCTACATGAATCTGTCAGTATTCTGAGAGAAGATCAATCTTTGATAGATATTAGATATTTTCAACTGTATTCAACTGTTGTTGAATTCATAACATTGAATATTCATTCTTGATTGTAAGCTTATTAAGTGCTTAATCATTTATACACATCTGTTACTCCTCATCTGTCTTTTTCATAAATAGAACTGAAAAGTTTCATGCACTTAATGAGAGTTATATAAGACTATGTTCTAGAAGATCTGTAATCTGATACTTCTGTTCTTTGAGATGTGTTTGCAACAGAGGGTACACATCTTGATTGACTGATTTCACATTCTCTGTGTCAATCTCATGTATGAATTCTTGTTTCAGCAGCAATTCTAATAAAAGATCTATTCAGAAGATCTTCTCATACTTCTTCAACAGTTTCTTTATACACTTATTATTCTGTATATTCTTTATCTTGATTTTCTCTGCTTCTGACTTCTGTATAACATACACAATACTTTCAGATAAGATCTTATAAATCATTCTCTTAGCTTGTTGATGTATAAGCAGATTTAACTCTTCTATTTCAGAGGTGTGAAATGTTCTTCTCATATCAGTTAATAGAATTGTATGAACTATTTTCTTTCTATTAATTAACTGCATATGACATGTACATCATTGAATCTGTGAATTGAACCTTTGAAATTAGTCAAGTCTGAAAATAAGGTTGTATTTCACATTGTGCAGCTCTTGCACTCAAATATAGTAAGATCATTCTTCAAAGTACAAGAGAACTCTTACTCTTGCTGATGATATTAAATATTAATTATCAGACAATCTTATACATTGAAGATATTTCACTCAGGAGATTTCTTTCAGTCTTTAAATTATATAATTATTAATATATTGTGTAGAAGCTTCTGTGCCTGCTAATACTTTTGCAGCTATCTCTCAATTCTTATTCAAGTGCTCTTTATACATTAACATTTCAAATCTTAAGATATTGAGACAAGTGTCTGCTATATCATTCTCTTCCTCTGCATCTCATTCAGAAGCCTGCTTTCTCTTGATATTTACAGAATTCAGAGAGTCATCTAACACAGACATCTCTTTCACTTTGAAGACTTTTCATAGAATATCAGTAAGTGTCTCTGAGCTCACTGATTCTACTAGTTTTTTAACTCTCTTACTTCTCTTAACTATGCATGCTGTATGTAATCTTTTGTATTATAATTTTAATGTCTGCAGTTGAAGCATGCTCAATACTTATAATATCAAGATTTTCACTCAGAGAATTTCTTTTTTGAGAGATTTAGTACTGTAGCAATGACATTCAGATCTAGATTTATTGTATTCAGATGTATAACTTGTATTATAGAAGTCTGATTATCTGTTCTCTGTTAAGATATACTTGATTGCAGTATTATCTATTATAATTAACTTACTTATTTCTGTACAATGAGAATGTTGTATACTTTATTCACTATGTTTGATTATGAGATTAAGTATTTTCAATTCACTCTTAACTCAGATATAAGATCATGAATGAAGATCTGTAACAGAAAGATGTTGAAAGCTCTTCATTCAGTATAAGATAGTGTAAACTGAAGTATATAAAGTATAATATAAGTTCTTTCACTTATCTACACTCAGTAAAGTGTTTGTAATACTTGTCTTATACATTCACTTTCTCAAAGCTGTGTAAGATTCATTTAGAAAACTCATTTCATATTTGTAGAAATGAATATTATTTCTAATCTATGAGATTTATCTTTTTATTAGTTATTTATAATGACTTTGCTTTTCTGAGTAGAAACACAGCAGATCTTAAGACTTATTAAAATTCTATTAACTGTCTATCTATAAGTTTGTGTTTGATCTGATAATATAATTGTATCTAACTTAGTCAGCTGATTACAGCATCATTTTTTCCATTGCTATTAAAGCTTGATAGTTCTGACAGATCTCTCAGTTTAATGTATTTCATATTCAGATTCTCATTCTGCACAGTGATCTCTGATAATATATATACTTCTAGAGAGATTGTGAATAATTGTAATAAGATTCTCAGATTCAGTGTGATTATCTGTCTGTGTAAATGTTCAATCTCTTACTATAGATCTAAGACCTGATCTTCTCTATTCTTATTGATAATGATAATTGTATTAGTGAAGCTCTTTATAGTGAATACTTGATTCACAGTGAATGTTAATTATTGTTTGATCTCTGCCTCAGTCTCTCACTGTGTATACAAGGTCTTGATTTCATTTAGAATTCTTGTATATATACAGAGCTTCAATTCTGGTTCAGCAGTCTCAGCTGCTTTTCTTACTTCTTTGAGTAAACTCTCTAAGAGGTTCTGCATACCTTTCAGTTTAGATAGCAGGGAAGAGTGTTATTAGTTATTAACTAGAGAAGGTGTTCATTTCACTGATTTCTTGTTAATTGTATAATATCTATTGTTATATTACTATATTATTATATCACTATATCATTATATCATGATATGACTTCTGATTTCCTGTTATTATTATAAAATTCTGATGATGATTATCTTTCTTTTTATTCTTCTTTTGAGTAGAGAGTAAACATCTTTAAATCTAGTTCATCACTCTTATTCTCTTTCTCACATCTTATTCATTCACATATATAGTATTTGCCTGGGCATGGAGTTTTCCTTCAACAAGTGAAGCAGTATCAATCAGATACTCTTTCACTTATCACTCTTTATACATTATCTTTTGAGGTGTTTTTAGAATCATACTGGCATGATAACTACAAATTGCTTCATAGATGAAATTATCATGCTCTGAAGAAGTCTGCACTTCTCACCAGTTTTTAGACATGCTATCAGATGTGATTCAAAGGTTGCTTAAGTTAGTATATAATTACAGATGTACACTGACTTCTTATATACAGTACACTAAATTAATTGATGGCCGCTATAGCCTCTTTTACATTCGTAAGCAAGTTCGGAAGTTATTATCCGGCGGTTGTACGTTCTTCCGAACCACAGCATTAAATGAGATTATGAAATCACTTCTCACTTATATAATATCATAACATAGTGCTCATTTGTTGAAAATTGAACAGAGAGTATTATTAAATATCATTACTTTTCTGA